GTATATCAATTGAACAATAGCTTACCTTCTCCAAGCAAGAAATGTTCACCATCGTGACTCATACATTTTCGGGTAGGCTCGTATTGCAACTCACACTTCTTTCCAGCCTGTTCACATACTGCAAGAATACAGTCACGCTTAAATCATGTTTGTTTGTTTTAAATATATAGTTGGACAGAAAATTGCGAGCTAATAGAGTATTTCATTCTCATGCTGCATACATCACTGGGTATCTTACCTTTATAGACGAGATCCACAGAGAATCCTTGCATATTACCGTCTTCGTCCCTGCCAAATAAAGTAACAATGTTAAGTAGTGAAATCATACATATCTCTTCATACAGGCTATTTTTTTAAGAGTGACGGATAGTCACATAGGACTATGAAAAGTTCATGAATGGTGATATAACTTACATGTATTCCATAGCACAGTCACATATCAATGGTAAGGTAAAAGTGTACACGGTATTATTGTCCTTCTTTGCTTTGATATCATCCACAAGTTTCGTTGAAAATTTGTTAGCTAAAACTCGCAACAACATCAGTTTTGTAAGCATGTTTGGCTCTTCGTTCTTCATGATAAATCAGAGAAAAAAATATTATATGTATGCTTCAATCACTCACCAATCGAGCGTGGTTAGTATGATGTTTTGGTTTTCAAATTCCAAACTAAACAATTAAAAAGTGCTTTATCTGTTCTCAGAATAGCAAAATTTATATATTTTTGTAGATCAGTATTTATTGATAAAACATATTGAATAAACAGCTCTATGGATGGGCTGTACACTTTGAAGAATTGCTCAACAGACATGCACCTGACATTACACCTACCATACCTGAAACTGACACTGACCTGCCGATTTACTGTGACAAATCTACCAAAGCGGAGATCAGGAAAGCCATAAATCAACTTAAAAATGGAAAGACGTCAGGCCCTGACGATATTCCAGCAGATGCGCCAACAGGGAACAGGGAGAAATCCCAGCAGAGTAGAAAGAGGGCCACCTGATCAAAATTCCAAAGAAAGGAGACTTCAATCAGTGTTCCAACTACAGAGGGGTCACACTTCTCTCAGTACCAGGAAAGGTCTTCAATAGGATTATCCTTGAGAGATTGAAAGGACCGGTTGACCAACAACTGCGTGACCATCAGGCAGGCTTCCATAAAGACAGATCATGCACTGATCACATTACTACACTGAGGATCATTGTTGAACAATCCGTAGAGTGGAACTTCTCCCTGTACATCAATTCTGTGGACTATCTGAAAGTTTTTGACAGTGTAGACAGAGACTCACTTTGGAAGCTGCTTAGGAACTATGGGGTCCCCTTAAAGTTTGCCAGAATGATCCTTAACTCATACAAGGGATAGAGCAGATAGCTTTGAGGTGAAGACAGGTGTCAGACAAGGCTGCTTACTCCCAGCATTACTATTCCTGCTTGTCATTGACTGGATGATGAAGAAAGTGACAAATGTCAAAACAATTGGTATCCAGTGGACATTACGGACACAGTTTAAATACCTGTACCTCGCTGATGACATTGCCCTCTTGTCCCACAAGCAGATGCAGGATGAAACCACCAATGTAGCAACAACTTCTGCCAAATTTGGTCTAATCATCCACCATGATAAGATAAGTGATACACACCTTTACGAAGTGGAGTACTTCACTTACATAGGCAGTGTTGTGGATAATCAGGGTGGGACAGACGCTGATGTCAAAAGCCGGATTGGCAAAGCAAGAGCTGCATTTATCCAACTAAGGAACATTTGGAACTCCCGAACAATAGTAAGACACACTGAGCTTCGTTTGTTCAATACAAATGTAAAGTCTGTCCTGATATATGGAGCAGAAACCTGACGTACCACAAAGGCAACAACCCACAAAAAACAGATCTTTGTAAACAGATGCCTGCGATCAATCCTAAAAAAATCATTGGCCAGATAAGCTCGGTAAACTTGAGCTCTGGAAGCAAACCAGGCAGTCTCATATGGAGGAAGAGATCTTGCGGAGGAGATGGGGTTGGTTTGGTCACACTTTGCCATCCAACACCGCCAGACAAGCCTTGACTTTGAATCCGTAGGGAAAGCGGAAACGAGAAAGGCCAAAAAACACCCGGCGGAAGGACCTCAACAACGATATTAGGCACTCAAGATCCACCTGGGGGCAGCTTGAGACTGCAGCACAGGTCCACGCTGGAGAACTGTCGTCGATCGCCTATTTTCCAAGAGGGGCTACAGGCCAAAGTGAAGTGATATTGAATAATGCTTAAACTTAAACTAAAGCTAGTATTGTAATACCTATCACACAAAAATACTTTAAAATATGCTCAATGAATAAAGAATAATGAATCAAAATTGTTAATAATGTAGGTCAGTTCAAATGTGTCAAGTTTTATTATCAATTTGTTTTCACTAAATCCTATGTTGAGGTCCAGAATTTAATCTTTCCACTCGACTAAAGCGTGATAATGTGTGACCCTTATACCGTATTAGCCAGTGCGGTCACGCCTGTATATTGGACTTAGCTCGTGTTATCCAGGTGAACTTTGAGCGCCTGCTAAAAGACTCTACTTCAGACTCTACTTAAATATTTTGTCTTCTCTGCGAAGGGCTTTCAAATGTAAATTTCATAAACTCTATTTATATTTACAAATTTGTATTAGCGGCGAAGATTTCAAAAGAGTAAATATATTTTGTTAGAGGTGAGCAAAATATCAACATTGTCTACACCAAATAAAAAAGGACTCGTTTGTAACAAAAAATATACTGTGTATTTATACATTCTTACAAAATACTTACCTGCATGACCTTGCGTGCCATCAAAGCACGGAGAACTGGAAAGGGTGCATCACTGGAGAGTGCACGTGCTATGGGTGCAGGAAATTCTACCTCATCAGCTTCTCCCCCTAAGCCGAGAACTTTCTTCAAAAGCAAAGCTTTGAGAATGGGTCTATCGGTGTTAGACATCAGTCCTTGAAGAAAGCCGCCATCATTATTTTCACCGAAAAGCGAATCTCCGAATATGCCTTCAAGCAGAGAACACAGAATGATTTAAGTCGTATGCATTATATCTCATGTTAATCGAACACAAAAGTTAATTAGATTATCTATGCGTGTATCAATACTATTCCGAATAATTCAGCTTATTATGTAGGCTGCAATAATTAGAATTGAGATTAGACTCAATGAAGATGTAAAATTGTTGCACTGATCAAAAGGAAACATAGACTCACCTGTAGTAAAGCACACAAGACAGAACAGCGAGATTAAACTAAAACGCGACATGTTTCACCTGTGAGACCACCAGTGGAATGAGACACTTGTACACTTTGTCACCCTTTTAAAACATTGCCTAGTTGTAAGCCTACATACATCATCTGATATAGTCTTATCATTTTACCGGTATGTTATCAATTGCTCGGCTTCCTGTCCGGCGTTCCATTGTCTGTGAACAATCACTTGCATTGTTTGTTCAGATAGTAATTGTCATTTTCAGTAGAACCTTCGGTCACAATCAGTTCAGGAGACTTGTATATCTGATCAAGCATACAATTAAAGTTGGTAAGTTTATTTCGAGCACAGTTAGTGGTTATGTGGAACAAAGTATAATCATTTACTAATTCTCATTAAAATATGACAAAAATATGGTTTGATAGTGTAGGTGCATTGTCACGCAAATTATAGAAACGACTGTGTCCGTACACGATGTCGGTTCGGTGGAAATTTCCACGTTGTTAGTGATGATTCCACTCTTCGTGTATCGTGTCATGTACAACGCGTGATAGCACGTGAGTCAGTATATTGTTCGTTGAAATTGTGAAATATTTCCACTCCACTATCACACGTTAGTAGCTACATGAACACGTGATAGACAATACAAAACACATTAAGTGTATAAACATGTAATATGTAGGGAAGATGAAATGCATCTAGTATCTGCACTTTTTTTCTCAATTTGTTTTCAAACCACACAGACTATCTATGATAACTACAATAAGCAGACGACCGTCGTCGAGATGAAAATTTTAGTATATATTAGAGTTGAAACAAGACAAATAGATAATTAGCAGACATTGACCATATAACATGGTACTACCTGTTTAGAAGATTGTTTTGTATTATGTGTGAGTTTACAAGCACCAACACATATGTATGAACATATATTTCAAATATACCTGCAAGCAGTAATGATGGCTTTGCAGTTGTTATGCTGTTGAAACATGCTATCAGTCTTTTTCAAATTTTTAGTTTGCATGAAATATTTCCTGTGTCATTACTATCAATTTGTTATGGTCGACGTTGTAAATTCAATCACAAGTACAAGTACAAAAAGATAGTCTTCAGAAGGGACCATCAATTAAAAACCACGAGAAATTCAGGGATTGCGGTACAAGGTGACAACGTACTGGGGCCGAGGGCTAAGACTCTCTGACGGCCCGTCACTGATGATGATATGTGTCATTTCATTACGACCCTTACTTTTAATATCACATTTTACATGATATTAGCCTTCTATGGGATCTCTTTGACCATGCAATTATGTCAATAACGAGATTTCAGTAAGATTTTCAAATTGCCACTTTAACGGTTACCATGGACATATCGGCTTGACAAGTATTAGTAAAAATATATTTGAAATTTATCTTTGGGAATTAGATTTGAGCATGGCTGATGAGATCACATCACAACCTACTAGTCCATCGACGTGCACAATAGCTAGTGACTTGGAAATGTGTATATTAATAGAATTCTAGTAATTCGATATATAAGCATAAATAATTAATGATGTTCACACGATGATCTCAAGTGCTTAATATCTAATTAGTAGTAAATGTGTATCTATATCAAATCTAAGAGAATAAGATATTAAAATGAGTAATTAGGCCATGTGAACAGATAATAGAGTATCCAAATATGTTTCTATTTGCACAATAGCAAATGTTGTTTTATAGAAGACTCCACAATTAAACAAACAACCAAACATGGTAACATCTCGACATTCTTTATATACATAGTTAAATTATTCAATGAATAACACATGTTATTGAATATATTTTGGCAGATTACATTGTACAATGCTACAAACATTCTACTCATCAATAATAAGATACAAGAATTTCAAAATTTGAACTGCCAATTAATTTGTGAATTTAATAATTACATTACTAATTCATTTCCAGTTGAGCAGGGAATACGGCAAAGGGTGAGGTGACCTAATTCTTTTGCTGTTCAACAGATTTGTCAATGATATTAAAAGATACATACTGCAAAAAATGAGAACTAAACATAAATATCATAAAATCAAAAACTGTAATATTCAATAAAAGAAGAAATGCACTAAATAAATTCAAATTTCATATAATGAAGTGGAGTTAGAAAGAGTGTCATATCTAGGCATACAATTTAACACAAAAAGAAAACTAGAAAAAGCACAAATCGACCTAAACAATATAGCCATTTGTAATTTTATTCATAAACACATATACCAATACAGAGTTATTTGAAAACATTTGCAGATGGTTAAACTTATTTCGTCCCACTGCTCTGAAGTACCGTAACGGTCGATTGAGCAACAAACCAAGATTGTTTGTTATTTTAACATGCATCAAAGAAATCATGAAATGTTGGCTAAATATTTTCTAAATATAATAAACATGTTTGGGAAAAGGTAACATCTGAAGACGAATATGGTTTAATTAAAAAAAAATATTCGGAAACTTGAAAATATAACAGAAACAATAAATGAACAAGGGAGCAAAAAAACAAAATATTAAGCACATGTAAGCAGTTTAAATCAGATTTCTCATTTGCAAAATAATACTTAGACATAATTAAAAACCCACATCACAGAATTCTTTAATCAAATTAACAATTAGTGCACACATCCTGGAAGGGACAGATTTAACAATGTTGATATTTCAGAAAGGAAAAGTCTAATTTGTAAAATAATGACGTCGAAGATGAGATGCACGTTTTTATCAAATGCAACCTTTATTTATAGATAAACTATAACATTTCTAAGCAACAGAACAGATGAAGAACAAATAATATTCATCCTTGGAAATAATGACGAGGAAATACTCGTTCAGTTCAATATAATAAAGAAAAACATGTTTATAATAGCTTCCCCATACGAGAGGATTAAAAGCACTCTAGCATCTGCCTCAGTGCAAACCACAAAATAATAATAATCAAATACATAATATACACATTTCATATACATTTTTATAATTTTTTCATTTCAATGTGTGTTTGTTTGTTTTGTTATTTCCATTTATTTACACTTTATTTTCCTTCTTATCAATAACTAAAGTGAATTCGATTGCAATAAATTTATTCTTATTATTTAACCGAGACTTCAGTTATTTGAAAACTACCACGGTAAAGCTATGTTATAAGATTTTAGTTTATCATCTACAAAAAAGTAAATAATAAAACTCAAATTCAGTGCAAAAATCTGCTATCCAGCGCATGGTGTTTGTTTCAAGCTTAATAATTACAAAGGCTTGAATCAGACGTGTTTCAGGTCAAGAATTCTTATTTGCCTGGTTCTTGTCCCTTTGCATTTAAGTTGACTGAGTTAATTGAAATGCAAATATTAGCATGTATTCTCTTGACCTATCATAATTAACAGTGCATATGTCATAAAATTCAGAAATTGTTTCATCCGTTATTCTCAATTTCAATGTTATGTATGATGCAATTTACCTGTCTTCCAAAACTCTAATTGATCAGTTATTAATTCCATGTTTTTATGAAGTTAGACTTAAATATATTGTTTAACTTTTGTTGATTTGACTGTATGTTAAATGTTCACTGGATACAATGACGATATGTAACATGGATTATTGTTAACGCGTGTTCTAATACACTACTCGTCACCCCAGCTGCTGCCTGTCGTGTTCAATTCATTTATACTCAAATAGTATTGTCCATTCAACCAACTGATTTGTTAACTAATATGGAAATAAAATAAACCAATCAATCACTGTGTTTTATCAATCACGATGTGACTGTGACCGGTAACAGCCAGACGTTTTGGGCAAAGGCCAACAGTGTTATTGACAAATGCCACAGCTATAAATATCAATCTTTGTTGTTTGTGTACTTTGTGCTGAATACCTTAGTTGTTTGGCAAATAATCAAATAATGGTATAGACACGTCAAATAGCATGCTGTCCATAATGCATGTATGTTTCGAGTTACGTAAATGGCTATGATCGTTTTTCAATAGAATGACTGAGTGACTGGCTGCGGACTGGCTGACCAAACAATTTAGTTTCGACTACGCCGAATATTATTCATTGTGTCACGCTTAAACTTTAATTAGCTAGTTAGAGGGTTAGCTGATAAACAAACACAATTTTATTTGCGGTCCTTGTGGTTGTCTAGCCCTTAAACACTTCATTGTACACTTAATTCAAGCTACGAACTGATTTGAAAATAAAAAGATGTATATATATTGCCGATGACTAAACTAAACTCTGTACCCGGAAAATTCAAGATTAAACATTTTCTGTTGGGCACGCTGAGTGGGCTAACATATTCTGATCGGCTCCTTTGTGGCGCAGGTACGAAGTAACGAGTGTTTAACTTGTAAATCACTTTAACCATGTGTCAGACAAGAGTGCCAGTCGAAAATGGTGAACGCAAAGCCGCTTTACGAGATAGAGAGAAAGAAACACCGTGTCACAAACTGTTGTGTGTATATTGTTAGACCGCATGTGATAGCATCGGTTTTAATCACGGGATATATTTTACTTGGTGGACTTCTTTTCAAGGTTATCGAACACGATGTTAAAGTACCACCTCCTTACGGAACTGGGCAATCTCCTGTACATGTTCTCCGGTTCGAATTGCTCCAATCACTGCAGGCACTGTGGGTCAATAGCAGTGTCTCCGAGTCGTGCAACTGGACGATGTCCGCTGTTGAACTTCTTATCGAATACGAAGATCAGGTTGGTGGTCTGAACGCTTCGCAGCGTGGAGAGAATACCGATGGGTCTCCGTCATTTACAGATTGGTACACGTCATGTTTCTTTTGTTTCACTGTCATTACAACTATAGGTTAGTGAGTTATGCTACAAAGGTGGGATTCATTACAAGTGAAAACTGTGTAGATGACATTTGCTCACTCGCGGGTGAAATCCCCGCAATTAGAATGCCCTTGCCCGTACTCAAATGATATGTTTTCAACAGTACTATAGGGACTCAATTCGGTAAGGCGACGATTATTTAACGCATACGGTAAAGCCCTCGTATGAGGACTTTTCTGGGGTAAATAAAATGTCGAGGTCACAGGACCGAGGCGATTCTAAAGTCAGAAACATCAAAGAAAGATTTTGTTCTGTTTTAAACAACAATATTATTCACATTTGTTTTCAGTGACAGAAATAGTTTGATTCAGCACAGAATGTTTTAAGCTATAAGTGTTAAAACATTAAAAATGTATTCCTCTTGTTGTTATATTTAAAATTACCAAAATAATTACCGCACAATACAACAGTCACGGTGTTACACCAATTTTACGGTTTTGTTTAGTAGCCTATCTTTGTTTTAATTGTTTTCCAGGATATGGCCTATCAGCGCCGAGGACGACCATGGGACAAATAACTTGTATTATCTACGCAATCATTGGTGTTCCATTGTTTTTAACGTACCTCGCTAAATTGGGAGCGTTAATGGCAGAACCAGTAAAACTAATGTATTGCATTGTGAGTAAGAAATGTGTCGCCATCGTGACCTCAAATGACGACCTGAAATCAAGTACCAAGAGTCATAAAACGAAGAATGACGTCACAACACGTGGTATAGAGATTGCAACAAAGCATAACGACACGGTTGATGAAATCATAGAAACCACTGTTGAATTAAATAATTTGGAACATATGCATTCCGAATTAGTTACCGATGGCGTAACCCAGATTAATTATTCAGATAGGACCGGAGACAGTGAAGTACATTCTCAAAAATGTGCAAAACAAAATGAACGTTTTTCAGAAAATTACGAAGACACAGAAGTGCCTTTGATAGTGATTATAGTTTTGATGTCTCTATACGTGTTCATATGCGCAATATGGGTTGCTAAAATAGAACAAATGACGTATTTAGAGTCAATTTACTTTTGTGTTATCACGTTTTCTACGATTGGATTCGGCGATTACGTACCAAATCGGCACAGTCCGTTTTTGTGGTTGTATATTATCATTGGGCTTGTAATGATGGCTGCTAGTTTCAGACTGCTAGAGGGCAGACTCAGCAAAATTATGAAACGAATCAACTGTGCGGTTTATCCAATATTATGCATACATGTTTGAATATTACGAATATATATATATATATATATATATATATATATATATATATATATATATATATATATATATATATATATATATATATAGCCGTACATTGAAAACAAAAAATAAAGAGATTTACTTTTTCAACTACATACTTTTCAAACATTCACTTCACTATCTAAAGTCACGACACTAATAATACATCCGTTAATTTCACATACCATGACAGTTCAGCGTAATAAAGCAGTGCAATCAGTTTCCTTTTCATCTCTCATATTTGGATAAAGTAACTGCAAGCTGATTGGATGAGAACCGGTCACGTGGAATGGAATGGAATAAATTGCAATACACTCCTCAGATTATACAAATTATGCTAGTCATCTCTGCATGTCTAACCATACGATTGTGACAATACTATTAAATTTCATTAAATAATCATCCTTGGGTTCCAATAAATAGTACATGTGCTGCTTTATAAGTAGTCCTGGTTTATTTGAAAAAGAATATGGTTACCCTGACAGAAAAATACATCTACTGTAAATTGAAGAGGTGAAAAGAAGAAGAAAGGAACACGTTGTCTAGTTTCATTAAAGAAAAGACAATGCAATGCGCTAAAATAAGATCATGTTAATTTACTAGAATAGCATGTGGTCCTGTTTATTTAAAGAACATTTGATAGTAGCTGAAAAATAACATTATACAGTTTAAAACATCTGTGCTATGGCAGGGTATGCCTTTCTTATCTTCAAAAACATACACCTGGTTCGTTGTTTAATAATTTAAAGAAAAACATTATTTAAAAGACATATGCGTGACTGTCTCGCTTCAGTAAAAAAGTGTACTAGTATTTTGAAAGAATCGAATTAGCATCGAATGCAATATAACCCACGGTGATCACAAACTGCCATAACATCGAATTCACGCTGGAGGCTGTGTTTGCATTTGCCAAAACGAACGAAACGCTTGCTAGAGATATTTTAAAATGTCCATAACTAAGCCTACATTCATTACAATCTGTCTGCGAACGCTTTTTTTGTGCCTAACGAGTTAGATATTCAAACTAAATTATTCGACGTATTTTAAATATTTTCGGCGGGGGTGTTAACAAATTTATGTTTATAAACTGATTATCCCGGAACAAATATCCTACCGGTAAGTTTGTATTCGAAATATTATTGAAATCTACGCATTTTTTACGTCTCATTGAATAAGATAAGTTTGTTTTTTAATTGTTTTGCGTTACAGAAATATCGTGTTTGATCAATATGTTATAGACATGTACAAACTTGAATTTATATGTTACTTAGTACCCAATTCATTTAAATGAGTATCAATGTAAACCATGGTGGAAGATTATTTACATTTTCGCCCTCTAGTGACTGCATTTAATAAAGTAAACACAATTGTCGATTTGAGGCTGTTATTACCCATATACGTCATTTTGACTTCACAGATGCATTCCGCGTGATTTATAAGAATGGTGTAGTACATGAAACTTTGTGAAATATTCCTAAGTATATCACAAGAATCACGACATTATTTGAAGTCTTTGTTTTAATGAAATTGACGGAGAATGACAAAGGTGAATGTACTGAACTATCGCCTTGCACAAACGTATAAATACAATTATGTCGAGGTGTGTGCAACGTAAAGTTTCCTAATAGTAAATAACAAATCGTATATTTCTCAACCACATCTAGGTTTTACCCCAAGCCTTGCATTTTCCGAGATGATGTTCAAATGGAAATTTATGCTACAAATAGACCAGACCGTTACAATACAATGCGCCTAGAATGTGGTTGATGTGGCCACCAGGTGGCGCTCTGAACTACTGGTAACGATCACAATGATATTGGATAGAGTTTTCAAATGACCTATCTGAAACATTCTACTTAAAATTGATATAATATAATTAATAATATCCTGTAGTTTGGCTTTTATTCATTTCATTTTTTTTTTTTCATTTTTTTTTCAAATGTGGCCACAATTGGAACCACACCGAAAATCGCCACCGTTGTTTCCTGTATCTATGGCAAGGATCACTACCTCCATCCCCACTCACCCTCAACCCGTATATATATCTGCACATAATACTTCGGTAATTTGTTAAAGGTCAACTGCCAATGAGAGACGAACTAACACCCGTTCCCATATGTCGCGCCCTCTCGTGACGTGGTGCTTCTGTGAAATCAAAATGACGTGAAATGATGAGGGTAATGTCGTTCAACTTGACAATTTTGTTTTGCTGTGAAGTCGTTTTCTTCTAAAATGTAGTAAAATCTCACGAAAAAACATAACTTTCATTGATATACGACTGCAGAACCCGACGATATTGGCTCTTTGAACGGCCTTCGTGTCACCCATTTACGGCTTTGTGTTACCCATTTATGTATTGAAAGCGCTTCGTCAACTGATTTATAGGAAAGGTTTATTGTGTGGTAGTTACGGAAATAATTACAACATCATATTAAACAAATAATTATTACGAAACTGTGTGACACACCTGCACTAAAACAGTGATGAGTAGAGGAGGTAGTAAAGTTCTAGTGTATCGGTGAGCCTTGCGTTAAAGAAGAAATAATTGGCAGCCTTAGGCTGTCAGAGGAAAGAAAGAAATTAAAGGAAGTGAAGAAAATGGCGATATTGAACTAGTGCATTCACATAGCATGTTTCATCGTCCAAATCGCACGGTTTCGCTAAAACCTATAGTGGTCGTGTTAGGAAAAGCTGATTTCACTACATTTAAATCGAGTCATTTGATTGGGCGCGCCAAGGAGCTGGCGCTACCAATCAGCGTTGCTGTATTATAAAAGTGAAGGTCGGGAAGCTCATCACAGATCAAAACAATGGTGGCGTTTGCGCTGATTCAAGAACAGTAGGTCTACATTTGCTGACACGTTTCCAATATTTCCTATTCCAACGTTGAAAATTGTTTGTGGGCAAGTGAGTGAAGACGATAGAATGTCTAAATATTTGTGTTATATTTCTTCATTTCAAGTGTTAACTCGATTGAGTTTTCGGCACTTAACTCTCATTACCACACACTGTAACGAAGATGGGGCTTGGCGTTTGTCGACGATCATTGCTAAAAAGCTAACTTCATGCAGTTCTGTAAATACCATATTACTTATATTGGTCTGCATTCTTTGCGCCAATAATGAAGACAACAAATAGCATATGGCTAAAGTCAGTTGACTCGCTGTGATTAAACAAGTCTTCACCTGACTGCACATCCACTCACTAACACATAGCACATAGAGGATTCAGGAAGTAGCCACATCGAACAATAAAAGCACGGGTTAAAGAAAAGATTACTCAAGTGCCAGCTTTTACAAGCGCGGAGGCGCCAGCTATGACATCCAGAAACGTGATAATCGTGATGCTCTGGAAGCGCCACCACACGACGTCAATCTTACCAATTTTTGCGAAAAAAAATACAGCACCGTGGGAATACCAACACAGTAACAATATTTGCACATACAAAAAAAACTTTACAAAAAATCCATAGAATGTGACATATTTTATTTACATGTCCTGCTGTCATCTCCCGAGTATTTCTCCTTGCGACTGACACAATAAACATGAATTTCTTCAATTGCCCAATTTTCTGCACGCAAAAATGACCAGCAAGTGCCATCTGTAAGTGTACTTGTATAGCATGGAATACCACAATGTTGAAAGGGCTGCTGTTGAGTATAATAAACTTTTTACGACTTGCTGTAGTAAGTGTAATCAAGTCTCACAAAACGGGTAGCCGTGTTTTTCAAACGTTTAGCACTGTTTTCACAGACTGACTTTGTAACTTGGTTTAGATTCAGGCAATATGCCACTACATAAAAAGATGTAATTAATTACCTGTAGAACGAGTTGTCTAATCGAAGCCATCTTTGTTGGCAACGATTTGTTTACAACCGCGAATTCAGATGCGTCGGTTCATGGCCATTATTATAACCAGCACATATCATCGATAATATGGAAGGATAAGGCGCTATTAAGGTCACATGTAAATGGGTTCATCTACAAACAGGCACAAAATACGCAGTATAATATTGTCAAGTCACAACATGTTTCGCCCTACACATCGACTTTTGAAATAGGATTGGTGCAAAGTGCTGTCTATCTTTCTTAACATGTAACTCAGTTTATCAACGTCACGAGCGATATCCAATTTCAATAGCTTATGTCTTTTTACTGTTCTATAACAACTAAAATTATATTTCAAAAAATCCTGTCAGAAACCTGAAGTGTGTGGTTCGAAAAGAGCATTTTTCTCCCGAGGGGGCAGGTTTTTAACGCAGAGAGATATAATTACGCTCAACTAACCTTCCTAGTTTATCACTATTCATGTATCCAAGGTTATTTATTTTGTATAAACTTCTCAGTGTGGAATCATACCTTTATAATTAACACATTCCCCGTTACAGTGCCCTGTGGTAGCCTTAGCATAAGGGAACGATAGATGTTTGCGGAGTACGTCGGAGAATAATCAAATAATATAGCAGTTCAGACGAAAAGTCTCTCTTTAGTTATCCGTGTGGCAATTCCATGAGCCAGTCTAAAAAGTATACAGAAGTCTCCAATAATGGTTTTAGTAATCACAGACCATACATAAAATGCAGTAATATTATTAGTTAATTAAATTAGTTTAACAGTTTGGGCAAATTCCGCAATCAACAAATTCATTGAACCGTCCCACAATAAACGTCGCGAATGTTCTCAGAATGCATACTCCATCTTGGTTCGGGTCTTTAATGTTTGTTAATCTCTGTGAACATTTGAATTATACCGCATACAATTGGCTAGGGCTAACACTTATTTGTGATTTGTTAATAATAATATAGTTAGCATAAAGCGCATTGCTCTTCTGATGCGCCGTTTGTAAATATCCGGGTTATCTTTTGGCGATATAAGATCGTTGATGGCGTGCTACAAGATTCAGAAATACGAGATCAGAGTTTGAGATTCTTTTATCTGATTAATCGTATGCGTTTTTTTCAGGAATAATCCTTGTGTCTCAT